GCCACTGGATCCACAAGACTTCCCACCCACTGGCCTGTGATCTTCCTGCATTCGGTGTCATTGCATGTGTTTCGTGAGTCTGAAGAGGACTTTATAGACTAGTATCGGACATATGGGCTAATATCGGACTTATGGACTTGATCTGGACTGGGCTGGGATGTTTTCTTAATGTACAATGACTCTTTATATAAAGCTCTTTCTTATACACACAGGCCTCCTTGGATTTTTTTCGCTAGTCTACTGGGGTGACCCAAGCGTTAAGACGTTGACCCTTGGGGAAGGAAAAAGCAGCATCTCTGTGAAAGCCAGAACAAAGGGCCAAACAAAAGCAACACAGGTTGCCTCAGGCCCTGAGATGGGACCCTCACCTGGAAGCCAGCCCTTTCCTCTTAAAAAACGGTCCTCAGCATTCTCAGGGACCTGAGCGGTTTGAAAAGTCCAGCCCCACTGGTGCTTCACAGCTACCGTTTCCCCGAAAATAAGACAGTGTCGTATATTAATTTTTGCTCCCAAAGATGCGCTAGCTCTTATTATCAGGGGTTCTCTTATTTGTCCATGAAGAAGAATACTGTGCACATTTTATTAAAGGAGACCTCGCACTTCCTGTCTGCCCCGGCTGCGCTGCGGCCAACAGTGAGTTGCACAGTGGCACCCGCCACTATGGTCCAGAGTGCAGAGTTACAGTAGCTTCGGGGGGGCCTTATTTTCGGGGGGATGCCTTATATTTCAGCGAGAGGCAAAACTGTAAGTAGGTCTTATTTTCGGGGAAACAGGGTACTCTCACCCTCTAACAACTGCTTGGTAAAAATCCCCAGGCTCACAAAGAGGATACAAAATGTATTTAATTCAATGGCATGTCACTACACAGCTTGGACAAGTCATTCAGTCTTCTGGTCAGTGTATTGCAGGGGCAGGGGGCGGGAGGGGGGTGCAGAGAAGAGAACTACTGTTGTGAATGCACAGTCAAATGGCTCTGGAGAAGGCCGAAAGCCCAGGCTGCTCGCCCACTGTTCAAACTCACTGTCTGACACCCGAGTCCAGCTATGGCGCCCAGTGCCCATGGCTTGTTGCTGCTGGGACTCCGGTGTCCAGTCTGAAGTCTGCAGTCGGACAGTGAGTTGTATATACAAGTATTAACCAAAGACTAAGTGGTTATCAGAAAGCTCCCAAGAGAGTACAGCCTAGCACTAAGGAGTTGGGGAGGGACAAAACCAAACTAACCCCAACACAAAACAAAACAACACAAAACAGAAAGCACACCTTCGTCTTAAAAAGAATCAAACGAACTGGACAGTTTCAGAAAAGTGATTGTAAAACACTAACGACGACGAGCAATCATCCTCAGAGCTGGCCCAGTTGAACCACCTAATTCGAAGTGCACTTTGTAATGTCTCCTGGGAGCTGCCCCTTTTCCCAGGAGACTGAAAAGCCTCAGGCAAGCGTCACTGGCTTCTGGGGATGTCTGTGTGTGTGTTTGTATGTTTGTGTGAGTGTTTTGTGTTTCGTTTTATTGCATTGCCAAGAGTGGATTTTTAAGAAAAAACACTACAAAGGTTTCAAAAACCCTATTTATTCTCTATCATCAAAAATAGCAACAGGGGGGCTTATACAACTTTTCGGAGTACCCACCAGTCTATTTTGTTTTTGTTTTGTTTTTTCTGTTTTTCTTAAAAAAAATAGAAGTTAGTTAAAGAAAAATGATCTGGTTCTTGTTTTGTTTGGTTGGTTTTTTTGTTGTTTTTTTTAAAAAATAATGTAAGGAAACACTTCATCGGAGAGCCAAGGATTCGTCAGAAATGTGTGGAGCGAGAAAGCGTCTTGGGTGGCCTCTCCGGCCTTGGCACGTCTGTTACTAAACTAGAAAGAGAATATACAGTACCAGTGTGTTTCCCCCACCTGCGTGGATCCAAGTGTTAGTGTGAAACCCATTATTGCTAGACCAGAGGGCGGACACCGGACGCCGCTCACAGAGGGTAAAACTGAGAGGCGGCTTCTGAGGACTGAATCTCCACCTGGGCCATTTTGAACTGGGTGCAGCGGAGCCACTTGCGGAGGGCCGCCAGGCTGGCGCTGCTCTGGCCCGAGCCGGGCAGTGCCCTTAGGCAGTGCTGGTGCACGTTGTTCTGAATAGCCTGCAGGCGGAGCTGGAGCCCGGCGGAGAGGTGCTGTGAAGAAGACACAGGGGTCAGGGGCCGTCTTCCCTCCCCAGTCCCCACCCCAGAAGCGCCCACCCACACTGCATCTGTTGGGCCCAAAGGAGCCACACCCTCACCCCTGGCCCGGCTAGGGCAGGGGAGGTGGGGTGGTGTAACACACCAGCACCTGCCCCTTGGGAGGGTCACCTGCTCCACTGAGTCAGTGCTGACTCCTGCCACCCTGTGGGACTCAGAGGGGCTCCCAGGCGGGGAGCTTTAGGAAACAGATGTCCAGGTAGCTGCCGAGGTGCCTCTGAGTTGGGTTCAAGGCACCTCCCTGGGGCCCAGCCACCTGATTTCAACCCTTCTGACTACGGGGAGCAGCCCCAACTGGCCTGCAGGTTGGAGTCCTCCCGCTCCATCCATGGGAGCACTCTCACCCCCTCTGATCTCGATGGCGCCCTCTGAAGGAGGCTCAGCTGCCAGTTGGGCCCAGGGGGTGGGGGTGGGGGCGGGAAGCCTTACCTTGATATTTGACTGTATCATTGGCAACCACATGGGTATCAACTGTGGGGAGAAACAGAGACCCGGTTAATATTGCCCGCGGTGCCCCAGTGCCTGGCACATCCTACCAGGAGCTCCCCCGGCAGACATGCCTACTGGGGGCCAAACCCTGCTGAGCTTGTGGCCTTTGTGGGTGCATCAGCGCCCGCGAGGGCCTGAAATGCCCACTTTTGAGTGGGTGAGAGGCTACTGGTGGCTCCCGGCACGGGGCATGACATGTGCGCTCAGCTAATCAAACCCTGGCTTTCTCCACGGGAGCGCTGGCTGGATCACCGAGCCCCTGAACGGAATGGGGACTCCATTTTCAGTGGTCATTCAGAAGCTGTGACGGCCAGAGCGCCCCGGCCACAGGGAAGCACAAGTCCCGGTTGTGTTCGGAAGGAGAGGCACAGCAAGGGCGGGTCAGACGGGTGAGGAGTGAGGCTGGCGGGTGGGGGATGGCAGACCGACCACCCACGGGCAGCAGGATCTGCTCCGGGGGATTAAGGTGCTCAAATGCAAGTCTGGGTGAAGGTGGGGGCCTAGCCCCTCCCTCTGCTGTGGCTCAGATCAGACCTCAGTCTCCTCTGAGACATGGGCCTTCCTGGGGGGCGACAGGGTGGGTGCCTGTCCGCATGCCTCCAGCTGCCAGCCCGCCTCTCTCAGCCAGCATTCAAGGATCTTGTACACCCAGCAGGCCAGGGCAGGGTGCAGGGCTCCCTACGGTGTGCTCCCCAGAGCTCTGACTTGGCAGGGTTTGGGTGGGGGTGAGTACGTAAGCTTGAGAATGCTGGTTTCCTGAATCCATTCCACCACTTCCCTTGCGTTCCTGCCGACCCTCTGCACCATGAGAGGAGTCGTCCACTTTTCCCAAGACGATCCTACCCACGGGCATATCAGGCAAAGACTGATGTCCTACCACGTGGAAGCGGCTCGTCTGTGAGCAGTGACATGCGCAGTCTTCTGCATGGGACTGGGGGTGTCACTGAGAGCAGACGCCGAGACGGAGGCCAAGTGACCAGCTAGGAAAGGTAAATCCCTAAGCACACATAGAAGAAGGGCTGGTGGCGCCCACAGAGGTGACAGGATGTAAGCGCCCCCGGCTCCCCCCCCCCCGCTCCCCCCCGTCAAAAAAAAAAGATTTACAGTTCTATTTTTAATTTTGAATGCCATGTCCAAGGGAGAAGGGGAGGGGAGTGGAGAGACAGGCATCAACCATGTTAGTCTGGTTTGGCCCGGTACTTGAGTAGTGCATTGCATCTCAGAGACGGATGTGCCGAGTCTGGACAGGAAGCGGCCCGGTAGAAGGGCATTCCAGGAAGACCTGAGCAAAGCTCAGAGGTAGGCTGTGGAGAGGGACAAGGGAGCTGAAGGGGTTCACATGACGCTGGCGTTCCCTGGAGCATCACAAGAAGAAAGTTCAGCAGAAAGCCTCTCCAGGCCACCCCAGAGGCTTGCCTGATCCCCACCAGGAGACTCGGCTTGTGTTCCCAATTCAGCACAAGTTCTGAGGAGGGCAACCCTGTCCGTCATGAGCACAACGGTGCTCCCAGAAGACCACGTGTGACTGCAGGCTGCCCACCGGTGAAGGAGGACGCCGCGGAGCACGTGACTGGCCTGGTGGGGAGGCTGCCTCGGTGGCCCGTGGGAGACCTGGGATGGAAAGGAACCTCTCCATCAGAGGCAACCGCTAGAGACGTGAGCACAAGACGGCTCTGCAGCGGGGTCTGGGAAGAAGAAGTGGCAGAGAGGTCTGGCCTGGGCCAAGCTATGGGAGCGGTAGCAGAGGCCTTATGGGATGGGGTGGTTCCTGGCTGGTCACAGTCTAGGCTGTTGGCCTCACGGAATCCGTCAGCACATCGTTGATGCACTCGGGGACACAATACATTGCATTTCTATTCCTGTGCTTGTTTGCAAGGGGGGGTCTGCTTTGACCATTCTGTGGGTGGCCCTGGCTTGTGGACTTGACCTCCCTGAGGTGTACGCCTACACATTCCTAAACACAGCTCCGAAGCAGCCAGCAAACGGGCTCCCTTGAGCACAGAGACTGTGTTTAGCTAACCGGATGAAAACTCAAATCAGCAGGAAATGACACTTTCTCCCGGCCCTCCCGCCCTCCTAGCCGGGTGGCAGGATGACAGTGGCTTGTTCCAGAGAAGGCCATGCTCTCGGGCCCGCAGGAGGACTGACTCATCTAGCCACTCTGCGCGGGAGAAAAACCAAACTACGCCACTCTCTCCTGCTGCTAATGGCATGTCCCGCAAACAGCACACCCGGGGGTTCCTCGTGCCGCAGAGACCCACGTTCACTGTTGATCTAGTGAACTCGGAAGCGGACATACATGCATCTTGACATGTGACCTCCCATGAAGATTCCTGAGAAGCTCAGGAAGGGAGGGGCTGGGAGCGCTGAGCACTTGGGGCTACGCGGGGATACCATTTCCCAACACGGTCTCTCGTCTTAGGGCCGATTTGAGGCAAGCAAAGGGAGCAGCGATATTGGTCTTGGAAGAGTTTGTGTGACTTCCCCATTGACGTACTGTGTGGCTATGTGATTCCAAAATATACTTGCCAGGGACTTTCGGGTTTGTGCTGTACAAATGACCTGACGGAAGACTTGAAGTTAACGGTCATGGTTATTGGATAGCGTTATATAATCCAGCTGTCATCCTATTTTAGGACTGCTAGTTTGACTTATTGAATAACATTCATGCCAGGTCACTGTTGCTAGTGGCTCTACAAAGCTGTCATTAAGAATTAGATGTAATTTTGTTTGGGGCTTTGTGATAGATAATGAAGTTGGCTGGCTTTCTTGCCTCTCCAGAAAAAAATATCCATAAAACTGCAGGATCTTAAAAAGAGAGAAAGAAATGTTTGCTTGTGTTTAACTAAAATACGAGTGACAGACTGTCCTCTGTCTTGTTTTTGATAGTCCAGGTCAAACGCCCTTCTGACTGAACGGGATTCATGTCGCTTCATGCCTGCTTCAACCCTCAGATTAAAATCGGTTGTCAAACCTGCGCTAGCTGGAACAACCAAACATCTGGATAAATTGCATGAAACGATGGTTTTCGGACCGGGTGCAACAGGCAATGAAGGATAGAGACCAGTGAAGGAGGAGAAACGAAAAGGTGGGCCCCACCCTCCATGCCAGGAAAGCGTTTCCAGGTGGAGGCTGGCAGTCTTTGTGAGTGCAGGAGATGGAGCGAAGCAGCCCAGGGGTCTAGAGCGTACAAGGCAGAATGCCGCAGGTGAGAGCTGCACCCAGAGAAAGGACTCTGAGGATCGGTCGCGGGTTCCCTGTGAGTCTTCAGCTGAGCACTGGCCAGGGCGCGTTTGTGAGGAGAAGACCAAGACCGAAGGGGAACCAACCAGAAAGATTAGTCGGCACAACCCCTGTGATCACACAGGGCCAGGGGAAGTTTCCGGTCCCACCAGTGCGACTGTGGGACCCTAGCTCAGAGAGCATGTGGGTGCGCACCTGAAAGGATGCTGCCTCCATGGGGAAGAAGTAACCCAGGAGATCCAATGGTGCCCTGACTCCAGCTCACCAAGTTTAACAGTCAAGGCTCAGAAGGATAACATGGTTTTTCAGTAATTTAACTATGTGACAGAATAATGTTTTAGCATATTTACAGGAATACAAAAATATCCAGTAGGCCAAAGGGTTACTTGCATAATGTCAGGAATTCAATAAGAAATTCCCAGGCATGCAATGAAGCTGGTTGGGGGGGGAGCGGGGTGGTGGTGGAGGCGGGTATGTGGCTCTTAATGAGGAAAAAAAGCCAATCAATAGAAGCAGACCCAAATGGACACAGATGGCAGAATTAGCAGAAAAGGCTATTACAAACACTTATATAATGACAGCCATTACGCAATGAATGATATTACATCATGATATCATATAATGGTGCTTCAAAAGCTTGCAGGAAAAGTATATTGTCTTTTACTTCCACTTCCCATGAACGTTCGAAGCATGCACATATAGTTATTATTACGATATCACAGTTATAGTCTGCATAGCACTGTAACTACATCTGAGAATTATCATAGCTATAATTATAGTCAAGAAGGTCGAGAAAATATTGAGCGCAAGTTGGAGGCAAAGAAAATATTACTTGAAGAAGCAAATACTAATAATTCTCCAGATGTAATGGAAACTATAGACCCACAGATGCAAGTTCAGCTAACCAAGCACATGACCCATGAAGAAAACTACACCAAGCCTGGTCATCTGCACACCAGTGCTGAAGAACAACCATAAAGAACCGCGCAAGAGGCATTACGTAGAGAAGAGCCCTAGGAATGACACCGAGTTCTTGCTGGAAATGAGGCACGCAAGCACACGGTGAGTCAGGGACATCCTGAGTACTGGGGGGGACTACCAACCTTTAATTCAATAACCAGTGGAAAAATATCTTTCAAAATTGAACCTGAAACTCCAACTTTGTCAGATTCAGACAGACATACTGAATGAATTCACTACCAGTGAACCGGTAGAAGAATTTTTAAAAGTCCTTTGAGGAAAATAAAGATGATCCCTCATGTGGGTAGATCTACACAAAGGAATGAAGAGCACTGGTGAACTGCAAGTCCACATGTGGCGATCATGGCAAAGCAAAGCAAAACCAGAGCGCTCGCTGCCAGTGAGCGGGTGGCGCCCACAGCAGCCCTGTGGGACGGGGTAGAACTGCCCCTGTGATTCCAGAGACGAAGACTCTTTACTGGAGTAGAAAGCCTCATCTTTCTCCCAAACGGCAATTCAAAGTATACGTAATTTTTTAAAACTCTCCTTAAAAATAATTTCCTGCTTACAGCAAAGATAGGAACAATGTTTTATAGAGTTTATGATTTATTTGGAAGTAAACAACAGTATCACAAAGCCTGGAGGTGAAAAGAAGTCGATTATTAAGGTTCTATAAGAAGTGGTATATTATTTATTACTTAAAGATAGATGGAAAGTTAATAATATATAGTATATCATCTAAAGTAACCGCTGAAACAATGAAAAACTAAGATGTACATGCTAATAAGCCATATTTTTTAAAAGCACCCATTTCTAAACAACGTAATAGTCAACATAATAGAACTGAATGAAAATCATACTATATCAAAATTTGGAGATATGCCTTATTACTTCAAAGTAAGGCTTTGAAGGAAATACATAGCACAAAACACCAAGACGAGAGAAGGAAGATTTCACATCACTGACCCAGGTTAACATCTTAAAAACTAGAAAAAGATGAGGAAATCACACACCAAACAGAATCATAAAAAATACTCAACTGATGCAAAATAATGCAAAAAATGAGCGAATAAAGAACAAACACTACATGGGAAATAAAGAAAACAAGTCACATGATGACAAATTTAAATGCACTAACACGCAAACCACATTAAATAACAACGATCTAAAATCCCCAAGAACACAGGAGGGATCGCCAGGTTGGATTTAGAAACAAAACAATAACAGTAGCAGAGCAATATACTCTTTATCAGCATTTAAAATAGTCAAATATAACTTAATGCATAACAATCTGGCCCTCCTAGGGACAAGGCTGACAAACATGCTAGGTCTGCACTTGGAACACTATGAACAGTTAAATAAGGCAAAAATAAATGGAGATAAAACATCGTATTCCTGTATCAGACAACTTGACATTATCGAGATGTTATTTTTCCCCAAATTGAACTATTTATGCACTGGAATCCCAATCCGATTACCAGTAGGCTTTTTTGTAGAATTTTAGCAGCTTATTTTACAATTTATCTAAAATGCAAAGGACCCAGAATAGTCAAAACAATTTAGAAAAAGAGAAACAAGTTTAGAGAACTAGTACTGCTGATCTCACTACGCAGTGTAAAGCTACAGAAATCTAGACAGTGTAGTAAAATGATAAAGAGATCAGTGAAACAGAATAGGGAGTACAGAAATATATATATACCGTTCATTCATTTTGTATGGCAATGCAAAGCAATTCAATGGAGAAAGGACGTATTTTCAACAAATGATGCCAGAACAACTGGACATCCCTCTGTCCCAAACTCCATCCATACTTTAAATCATATTAAAAAAAAGCTCAAAATGAACCAAAGACTTAAAGAGAAACTCTTCGGGCTCTCAGATTAGACATCCATAGACACAGTTCCGATATGACATCTAGCACAATCCACAAAATAAAAAACTGTTAAATCTTTATAAAAATTTAGAACATCTGCTCTTTGAAAGACAATGAACAACAAGCCAAAGGAAAGTGTTGCAATCTGCAAGGTCAGTGGTTTAAAACCACCAGCCGCTGCAAGGCAGCAAGACCAGGCGTTCTCCTCCCGTAAAGAAGCACAGTCTCAGAAACCCCCAGGGGCGGTTCTACCTGTCCTACAGTGTCACTACAGGTCAACATCGACTTGATGGCCGTGAGGATTTTTTGGCTTTTGTTTGGTGGTGATGGGTAAGGATCCCTGGTGGTGTAGGCGGTTACATACTGGGGTGCTAACTGCCAGCGCAGCAGTTAGAAATCAACAGGGAGAAAGATGGGGCTTTCTACTCCGGGAAAGATTACGGTCTCAGAAACCCCCAGGGGCCGTTCTACTCTGTCCTGTGTGGTTCACTCTCGGTTACTGAGTTCAGTTGGGCTGAGTCATGGTGGTGGATAGTGACCAAGATCGGAGAATCATCAAGACTGGACAAGGTACAAGGAGAGACAAGAAAAAGAATCTGTGAGATGGAGAGGGAGGAGGGAAGAGGAGGTAAAAAGATAGAGAAACCAAGTGCCTATTTACTTATTGATTTTTTTAAAAAATCTCACTGATAAGCAGAACCAACCGGGCGGTGTTTCATCCTGTTGGACATCTACTCCCTATTAGTTGGAAGCTACTCAATGATAACAAAAAGCAAGTATGTTTCTGACATCTCTGAGGAGATGGCCCTTAGATTATTCTCAGACACTGGGTAATGATCTAGAGTAGTAACGGTTGAAACAAAATTTAATTTCTCTTAGAAAAAAAAATCATCAGCTACCATGTCAATTACAAAGCTTATTACAACCTGCAATCTGCAGATGACACAACCTTGCTTGCTGACAGCAAAGAAGACGTGAGGCCCTGACTGCTGAAGATTAAAAGAAATGACAAGTGTTGAGTTTGGATTATAACTCACTGTGAAGGACACAGCTCACAACTGGACCCATGGACAGGGCCATGATGAATGGAGGAAGAATGGAAATGGTCCAGGACATCATTTTCCTTGCATTCACAAACCAACACCCATGAAAGCAACAGTTAGGAAATCAAACGGTGCACTACCGCCTTGGGCAAATCTGCTGCAAAAGACCACTTTAGCATGTTAAACTTGTACAGTTCTGCTTGACGTGATTGAACTATGGAATGATCCGATATAGGTATTAACTCCCACTGAATAATAAAAAATTAAATAATATAAAAATAAGGAGTAAGAAAGAAATGACCACCCGCAATATTAAAAAGCCAGAGAAGGAGAAGAAGAAAGAAATGTTAAAAAGCAAGAAATGTCACTTGGAAGACTGTTATACCTGACCCAAGCCATGGTGTTTCCAATCAACTCATAAGCCTGAGAACCCCAGACAAAGACTAAGGAAGGGAGAGGAACGGGTGCCTCTGAATGATGGTGTTGGTGAAGAGTCCACAATGGACTTCCAGAACCAATCTGCCTTGAAAGAAATCCAGCCAGCAGGCTCCGCCGCTGTCAGGATGGTGAGACTCTGACTCACATACTGCGGACACGCTCTCAGGAGGGACCAGTTTCTGGAGAAGACTGTCATGTTTGGTAAAGCAGAGGGGGACCCAACAAGGGAAAGCCCTTCAAGGAGATGGAATGGCTCCGTGGCTGCCGTCATGGGCTGAGACACAGCAATGGCAGTGCGGATGGGCAGACTCGACCCGGCAGCACCTAGCAGTAGCCACCGCCCACCTAGCCAATCACCTTGTTCTTCAGTTTTCTGGAGATCTTTGGCAAGAGGATGTACCAGATCACTTTCAAATCGACTTTTCCTCGGTGACAGTCTCATGACTGCTTGTGCTCCATTTCGTTGGACATCTTTGACCCAAGTAAAGTTCACAGTGGAAGGGACCAAGGGTAAAAAGCAACCAACAACTATTTGGCAAAGCATCGTTGTAGGAGCCTGAATTCTCCAGCCCCCCAATCCAGCTATGGAAGTCATCTACAGCAGTCTGTTTTCCCCCCTTGGCAAGTACGTTCCCCATCCGTTCCTGGCAGTGTGGCCTAGAAAAGTTGTAAGGTCTTCCTACCTTGACGAAAATGGTTGAGTTGCATTCTTGCAATGCCTCCATTAAACTAATCACGTGGAGACACACCATCTCGACCATCTGAAACAACAAAGATGAAGATTCGTGTCACTCCCCGAAAAGTGGAACCTTAGCCACTGAGCACCCAAGGGCCCTGTGTCCCGCCCAGCGCCAGTGAGGTCTTCCTGCGCCATGGCCAGAGGGGACCACACACGGAGTGGTGTTTGCCTGTCTCGGAAGCGTTAAACTAGAAGTTCTGCTCATTGTGGAGCAAGGCGGCCCTGCAATTGTCAGCTAATAAGTGCAACAGAAATGGTGTTGCTCTAAGAACATCCTACGGCTGAAATTTAGCCACCCCAGCAGAAGCTCTGGTGACAAGAGTGGGTATGGGTTGGCCTGTTAACCTCAAGGTCAGTGGTTTGAAACCGCCAGCTGCTCTGAGGGGAAAAAGACAAGGCTTTCCACTCCTGTGAAGAGTTACAGTCCTGGAAACCCCGAAGGGCATGTCTACTCGGTCCCCATGGGCTTCCTATGAACCAGAATCGGCTCCTAGAGCCGTGAGTTTTCGGAGAGTCAAGGGTTTACCTGTCTGCTTCATATGGTTTAACGAGATTCTCAGAATAAAACAAATTCAAATGGGTGCTTCACCTGTGTACAAAATTCATTTGTGACACATTCCTGTGTGGCATCATGCTTTTACAAAGTTCGTGGGCAACCAACTCCTTTCTAACAGGCGAATGAGCAAGAGAGATGTCGAGATGAGGCAGTATCGGTACCAACGAGCCAATGGTACTATAAGGAACGTCTTCAGTCTCGAGCCTAAGTTTAAGATCTGAAATTCACCTTTAGATGAAAGTTCTTTAGTTCTGGAATCTGGGAGCCTGACAACACAATGATCTCCACTCCAGAAGGGTTTGCGAAGAATCTTCACTTGAATTTCCTTCATGGCGAATTCTTCACATACAGAGCTGCTTTACAACATCGACGCCAGGAAACACCAATAAACAACCAGCTTCACTAAAGTTATATGAAAAAACTTCTTAGACTCAGGGTCAATCGGTTCTTCCCGGTGGCCTGTTTCTCAAGGAGACCTGGAGGCGTCCCTCTTCGAAGGTCCTCATAAAAAACTCAATCACTGCCAGCGGAGTCGATTCCGACTCTCGGGGACCCGACAGGACAGGGCAGACTGCCCATGAGTTTCTGAGACGGTCACTCTTTATGGGAGAGTAGAAAGCCTCGTTTTTCTTCCAGAACTGCTCAGAAATGCCAAAAATAGTGTGAATCTCACTCTAAGCTTTGGACTTGATCAAACCAAAGCAACACCTTCAAGAGAGACGTTTCGTTTCCCTTAGATCGGGGAAACAAGATGATTTTTACTCAATGTCCTGTCTACACTGCTTTCCCCGGAATGCCTGGGGCACAAGAACACCTATTGGTCATGTAACAATTCGTCAATTGGATCAACAACGTCCCACCGAAGGCCTTTACCAAGCAGACACGTCTTTGGAGCTCCCACCCCACCCCACCCTCACTCCCACCCCCCCACCACTGCCCCGGAGAGGAGAGCTGCTTCCTGTACTCACCACTTTGTTGTGGGCCATGAGTTGAAGGATGCTGGGGGTGACCCTGCTCCAGAACTCGAGCGCGGTCAGGATGGCCGTGAAGCTGAATTCGTTCTGATTCTGCACACTGGTAGCGACGGCGCTCTGCTCACAGTAGACCGTCCAGAGCTGAGCAAAGATGAACGCGTGGAAGAGGGAGCACATGTGCAGTACAGAGGTCTGAGGGGGAAGAAGATGGGCAGCTGTGAAGCCCTCATTGGGGGTGGGGGGTGGGGTGCAGGGCTCCATGGAGCGGCTGGGAGCCTCCCCTCCAAGTGGTCCGAGGCTGAGCGACTCAGCGCCAAGTTACCAACTCATGATTCATCACCTTAAAGCAATCTGCTCTCGGCTCAGGCAGTGGGAGTTGCTCTGAGAACAAAGCCTCTCTTCGAAGAGAAGGCACCTTCAATTGCAGAATAAATCTACCCACCCCCTGCCCTTTGACTGAAACTAACATTCCCACTCCCAAACTCGATTCGGCGGACTAATCGTGGCACCATTTTAAGGCGGTTCTTCATCTGTAGAATGGGGTGCCCTCCTCACAGAGCTGTGGCTAGGCGTCACTAGGGTGATGCAGACGACAGCCTGGCCCAGCACTTCACCAGCGTCCTATCAGAACCAGCAGGGGCAACAGGACGTACTCTAGTATGAACTGAGTCGGCCCCAACGACGTGCCATGCGTTCGCGGATCCCCTTCCAAGTCTCAAGGCATCGCATCTATTTCACAGTGATGAAAACAACACTCGGCAAGGCCAGGTAACTTGCCTGTAGCTGGTGTTGTTAGGTGATCTGATGCCTCATGTGGTTTCACTTCAGAGGCCCTACGTACCTGCACCATCCTCACAATTGTTCTTGGGTTTGAGCCCACGGTTGCCAGCAGGGTGTCATCAATCCATTGCATCCAGAGCCTTCCTCTTTTTCACTGCTCCTCCACATAATTATAGCTACATAATTTCATGTCAACTTGATAAACAGAATGGTGGGGTGGAGGTGAGCCTGTCAATCAGGCCACAGCCTGATGATGCTTCCTTGTGGGTGTGGCCTTCTCATGAGGATGCTGGGAACTTCCTCCCTTTCTCCCAGGGGGAGGGCCACGCCCCCTCTCTGCTTTACCTTCCTGTTGTGCAGCCACACGGAGAGCTGGAAGAGCCAGTGCTGGATTGGATCCACAAGATTTTCCACCCACCAGCCTGTCATCTTCCTGCATTCAGCATCACTGCATGTGCAACGTGAGTGTGAAGAGGAATTTATGGACTGGTATCAGATGTATGGGCTAATATCAAACTTAAGGACTTGATCTGGACTGGGCTGGGCTGTTTTCTTAATATACAATTGCTCTTTGATATAAAGCTCTCTCTTACACATAGGTGAGTGTTCCTGGATTTGTTTCACTAGTCAACCCAGACTAACACACCGCACATGGTGTCCTTCTCCAGGGACTGGTCTCTCCTGATGACTTGCCCAAAGTACATGAGACAAAGTCTCACCATCCTTGCCTCTAAGGAGCATGCTGGCTGTAATTCTTCCAAGAAAACCTGTTTGTTCTTTTGGCAGTCCATGGTATTTTCGGTCTTCTTCGCTAGCACCACAATTCAAACCCATCAGTTTTTCTCTGAGCTTCCTTATTTAATGTCAAACTTTCACATGGGTATGAAATGATTGACCATATCATGGCTTAGGTAGGCACTCCTTAGTCCTCAAAGGAACAGAAAGTCCTTGATTTTCAACACTTTAAAGAGGCCTTGTGTAGATAATCTATTACCCAATGCAATGTATTGATTACTCTTTTGACTGCTGCTTCCACCAGCATTGATTGTAGAGCCACAGGAGATAAAATCCTTGACAACTTCGATCTTCTCTCGGTTTATCATGTTGTTATCACCTATTGGTCCAATTGTGAGGATTCTGATCCTCTTTACAGTGAGTTGCAATCCCTACTGAAGGCTGCCGTCCTTGATCTTCATCAGCAAGTGCTTCAAGTCCTCCTCATTTTCAGCAAGCCGGGTTGTGTCATCTGCATATCAAAAGTTATTAACAAGACTTCCTCCAATCCTGATGCTTCATTCTTCTTCATATAATCCAGCTTCTTTGATTATTTGGTCAGTATACAGTTTGAACAAATATGGTGAGAGGATATAACCACGATGCACACCTTTTCAGACCATGCAGTATTCCCTTGTTCTGTTCACACAACTGCCTCTTGATGCAGGTACAGGTCCTGCATGAGCACAATGAAGTGTTCTGGGATCCCTATTCTTCTCTAGACTATCCATAGTTTGTTATGATCCACACGGTCGAATGCTTTGGCACAGTCAATGAAACACAAGTAAACATCTTTCTGGTACTCTCTGCTCTCAGCCAAGATCCATCTGACATCACCACATCATCAGTGACATCACTTGTCCCATGTCCTCTTCTGAATCTGGGCTGCACCTCTGGCAGCTGTCAATGTGCTGCTGGCATCATTGTTGGACGATCTTCAGCAAAAATTTACTGACGTGTGATATCAATGATATTGTTCTATAATTTGTGCATTCTGTTGGGTCACCTTTCTTTGGAATGGGTGGGTACAAATATGGATCTCTTCCAGTCAATTGGGCAAGGAGCTGTCTTCCAAATGTCTTGGCATAGATGAGTGAGTGCTGTCAATACTTCATCAGCTTTTTGAGATATTTTAATTGGTATTCCACCAATTCCTGAAGACTGATTTTTTTTTTGCTAATGCTTTCAGTGCAACTTGGACTTCTTCCTTCAGTACTATTGGTTCTTGATCACATGCTACCTCTTGAAATGACTGAATATCAACTAATTCTTTTTGGTGCAGTGACTGTCAACTTATTCCATCTTCCCTTGATGCTTTCTGCATCCTTCAATATTTTGTCCATAGAATCTTTCAAGATGGCACTAAGGCTTAGCGTTTTTCTTTAGTTCTTTCAGTTTAAGACATGCTGAGAGTGATTTTCCTGGTTGCTTTTCTAACTCCAGGTCTCTGCACATTTCATTATATTTGACTCTGTCTTCTTGAACTACCCTTAGAAATGTTCTGTTCAGTTCTTTAACTTCATCATGTTTTCCATTTGCCTTATCTACTCTATGATTAAGAGCAAGTTTCATAGTCTAATGTTACACCCAATTTCTTTTTGTTTCTTTATTTTTTTATAATCATTTATTGGGAGCTCTTACAGATAGAACATTTCATAGTTCAATCACATCAAGCAATGCTGTACAATTGCTACCACAATCAGTTTCAAAACATTTTCTTTCTTCTTGAACTCCTTGATATCAGTTCCCCTTTATCCCCTCCCTCCCCCATCATTCCCCCCAGGAACCCTTATTTCTTTTTTTTCCTATAGTAGTTTTTTGGGGGGTTGGGGTGGGGTTGGTCATATCTTACACAATCCAATATATCCATTTCTGTTGTTCGATCCCATTGAGTGGGGTTATGTAGTCATCAATGCTATCAGCTCCCTATCCCCACCCCACCCGCACTATCTCTCTTCCTGTACCTTCAGGGACCCATTACTCCTGTTACTGTTTCTGATGGGTTATCTATCTTGGCTTTCATATACTGAACAATCTTAAATATACAAATGAACATTCACAAATCTAACATGATTAACAAGGAAAAATCATAGTAGTAAGGGGAGGAAATATTAAAGAACTAGAGGATAGTTATGTGGTTCATCAGTGCCACACCACTCCCTGGATTTATCATCCCTTCTGGGTGGCCCTTCTGAGAGGGACTGTCCAATTATCTTACAGGAGGTGGGTTTCAGATCTCCACTACATCCATGCCCCTTCACATCGATTTGGTTGCTTGTTTTTGAATTTCGGATACCTCTTCTTGTTGACACCTCATGATCACACAGGCTGGTGTGCTTCTTCCATGTGGACTTTGTTGCTTCCCTGTTAGATGGCCGCTTGTTTGACTACAAGCCTTTAAGACTCCAGACTCAGACTCCAGACACTGTATCTTTTGATAACTGGGCACCATCAGCGTTCTTCATCACATGTGCTTATGCACCTCCTTTGTCTTCAGTGATCACTGACATCCACTTTCATCCTTCCTTTATTTCTGTCTTTTGAATGACCTTTTGATTTCTTCATGTGTGATGTTCTTGATGCCATCCCACAGCTCATCGGGTCTTCTGTCATTACTGCTCAATGTGACAACTCTGTTCTTGGGATGTACTTGAAATTTGAGTGGGATATATTCAAATCATCTCTGGGGCCTCATGGACTGATTTTCATTTACTTCAACTTCAAACTGAACTTGCATATGAGCAATTTCTAGCCTGTTACACAGTCAGCCTCTGGCCCTTGTTTTAGCTGCTGATGCTGTGCTTGACCATTGTTTCTTCCCACAGATGCAGGAAATTGGACTTCTGTGTATCACATCTGGAGAAGGCCACATCTAAATTGCCTTTTGTGTCGTTGGATAAAGGTATTTGTAATGAGGAAGTTGTTGATCTTGCAAAACTCTATCCGGTGATTCCCCAGCTTCAATTCTAGTGCCAACCATATTTTCCACTTTCCCTTCCTTTCTGTTTGCAACTTTTGCATTTCAATCGACAACAACCATGAAGATTGCATGTTTGATCAATTTCAAACTTTCCTAAAGTCACACAAGGTTAGGGACCAAACAGATCTGGGCTGGGATGTTAGGGAACTGACTGCCCAATTCCTTCTTGCAAAAACAGCATTCAGTTCCTTTGGAAGCGTGTTCTATTTTAGCTCGCAGTTTACTCACCCTTTCTTAAATCTCAGCTGTCATCAAACCCACTGTGACCTCCCACTGTGACCTACTGGGGAGGGTCTGGGGCTCCTCTTGGCTGATTAGCACCCATGTGTCCTGTGATGGCTCATAAGCAATGCCTGTCCTCGGTATACTTTATTGACTTAAGCACATCATCAGTGTCTACAATTTCCAAAAGGCTTCTATATCGATAAATCCAATTTATCCTTCAGTGAGCCTCCCAACCGACTCTCTTGTTTTCATTTTGGGTATTCATGTATCTCTAGAGATTTGAGTTGAAAAAAATGAAGAATTGGAGTAGCGATGTTCCCTCCACTTCCTCTCTGGTCCTAAAACCCAACTGACTGCCGACTCTCTTGGGTTTTTATTCCAAATGATATGTCAACCCTTTTCTTTCCCTTCATTATTTTGAAGCAGAAATGCCTAGGAAACTAACCCTTGCTGGTCTCCATAATTTATCCTCATCAAAGTAAGCTGCAAAACAATTTGGGGGTGGGGTTGGGGTGGTGGAACTAAAGGTATCCTGGGAATTTAAACAACTTTAAATAAGGCATTAGCCCAGAGTTGATTTCCTAACCTCCACAGGAGGGCAGGTGATAAGATGCATTTTCTTCTCAGAGGAAACATAATTGGCTGATAAGGGTTTCCATTAGCAATTTCGATGCATATGGTCTTAATCTTGCGGGCATCACTTACCTTTGATTGCTCTGGAAATCCAATCAGGATGACAATGAGATGGTCTGCAATGTGGGAGCCTGCGTCCAGAGGGATGGGCAGGCAGGGAGCGGAGGCATTTGGACACACTGCATTATGAGTGAGCGAACCCAGAAGCAGCCACGACAACAGACGGATGTGGGAGACACACTCGATGAATTCTTTAGGCCTGTTAGAGAAGAAAGAAGTTTCAAAGAGGATTTCGTGTTTCCTGTCTCATTGGGTACTCAGTCAATGCTCACTGAAGGAAGGGATTACAGAGTGCTCCCGTGGGCAATTACAGAAAATAAAATGCCAAGGCAAGAGAGCGCCAACAAAAATGATGTTTGTGTTGTTTCTCATTTTAAGCCTGGGTTTGAGCTGCTTGAGCAAATAGCAGCCTTTGGTGACATAAGCTGAAATATTCGGCCTCATTCTCCCACACACCTGGGTGCCTCTCTCACTAGCTTCTCTTTCTAAATGCTTTACCCGTTCCTCTTGTTAAAAAGTCCTCTGACATCCCCAGAGAGGAGAAAAAGAGGGACTATGTACAGCCATCTGTGTCCCTGATCCCTGGTGAGTTTCTCCACCTGACCTTCTCACCCCCAACCGCCACACCTTGCCTCAACCAGGAAGGCCAACCACACAAAAGCAGAGGCTCAAGCCCTTTCTAAGTTGCCAACTGAACTATCACCAGGCGACTTTAGCTATCCCCTCCCCTTCTTCCGCCTCACTTACAGAGAGGATCAGGGCATCACACATTCTTGCAATCTAATGGTTTCCCCTCTGCTTCTGTTTGGTTCCAGCTGTACCCTAAGCTCCTTGAAGGCAGAGTCCGTGAAAGTGCTCAATAAAGGACTATTAAATTAAACAGTTGACATAAGAAATTACAGTGACCATTCTAGGCTAGGGGTTTCACCATCCATTACAATGACTGAGGAGTTTATTCCAGACAAGTGTCTTTTGTTGGCCATGTGACGCTGAGCGCTTGTCAGCAGGAAAGTGTGCAGAGGGACTTTGATTTCCATCTTCTTAAACAATCATATTCTACCTCCATATGCCTTACCTAGAGTCATCTGCTCTGGCTGAGCCCTGGGAAACTCCTCGCCATGTCTGCTTTATGTACACTCATTCTTGGGGGGTCTTACCCTTGCTGCATTGCAGAAGGAGGATGATAGAGCCAAGGCAGATACCGAATTACAGCCTTATTATCTCTGTGGTTGCCCCTGGAGATCTCCATGGCTGCAACCTGGGCCAGCCCGACTTTGAGGTGCCCTCCAAATGTATCTTCATGCAGCGGCTGCGAACAGGCCTTCATGTGGTTCTGCAAAAACCAAATGGCACATTAAATTTTTCCAAAGTGCCTGGAGATGTTCCAGGTCACTCTTGAAGAAGATCAGGTTGCCATTTCCCCTCCACCACCACTCTTCTACATTCAGTGGTTTCTCACGGCTCTTGGGATAAAGAAGGGAAAAGGGGGGGAAAGCATCCTTAGCATTGTCTAGACTGCCCGGAACAAAGGAGCAGCTAGAGGCTAGCTCCTATGACCTCCGCCCCGAAGGCTTGCATCCCCATGGCTCAGCTCAGCCCCACCGCTCGCCGTGGTCCCTCCCACCCCGGTCTTCCCTCATGCTGTTTTCTCCATCTAAATCCTCACCCAATATTGCTTCCAATAACTCCTCAAGTGCCTTCACCCAGTAACTACTCAAGCATCACTTCCGTGAGGATGCCTTCTCTAACCTCCTCAGATGGGTCAAATTTTCCGGTTAGAGGATTTGCATGTCAGGGTCAGAATGATACTTTTGTTTGCATGACACTTGGATCAAGTTTGCCTCCCCTGCTAGGTTATATATTAAAGAGGGCAGCTACTCGGTCTATTTTTTGTTTAGTGTTGTGTCCCTACAGTAGTGTCAGATACATCGTGGGTGCTCAATACATATTTGTTGAATTAATTCACACCGATTTATCCGCTCAGGGTGACAGAGAAGGAAGAGCCTTGCATGAGGAGTGAAGAGACCGAGGTTCCGAGTCAGCTTGGCCCTAACTAGTTTCCGGGCTTTGGACAAGCCACTTGCCACTGTACTTTGCCAATCTGTTTCCAAAACCATGAGAGCATGGCTGGGTTTTGCTTGCGTTCCCAACCATGTGCTCATCGTGGGTCCCTTTGATGATCTTTTCCCGTGTTTTGAACGTGTCTCTAAAACAAGCTAAAAACGTGAAAGGTATAACTGTTTCTTCTTCTTTTGCATCACCCTCACCTAAGAGCGGGTAGCCTGCTTCAGCAGTGAGTACCCAGTGTCCAATTCAAAGCAAGGGAGATTGCTTCGGAATTCTTTGAGCTAGACGTCATGAGAAAAGATCAGTTCCAATATCGGGTCTACTTGCTGCTTGACATTTGCAAATCTACCACGGTGCCAAGCAACCGACACTCGGGTCATCTGAGCAGAGTCTGAAAACTGAGGTCAGCAGGGAGGGGACCCTATTTGATGAGCTGATGGACTTCTAGGATCACTGGATTCCCGTGTGTCATAAAGAAATCAGTGAGTGCGAGGTTGTGATTTGGCTGCTCCTTGGGCCGTGTTGAGATTCCCTTCTGCCCTCTCGCCAGGGCCTTCTTCAAATCTCTTAGATCATCAATCTTTGAGCTCCCTACTCAAATCATGGTAGGACAGGTGACTTGCATCAGCACGTCAGTCCACCCTGCAAGGCAATCAATAAGCTCAACCGCCTCACTTGGATTTTGCCCAGATGCAAATAGAATTTTGTTCTCTCTCCTTTAAAAAAATTTTATTTGAAGAAGAAGACCACTTCAACGCAGATTAAAGACAATAAAGGGCTTATGTCTGTGTAATAGGCCTTTTGACATACAGAACACCCACTCCTCACTTAGCCACATGGTTAGGCTCCAAAGACAAAGTCGTTATGTGAGAATGGAGAATGACCACATCAGAGCACAACGTGGAGGATGACATCACCATGACTGAACTGCGGAATTACGTCATGATCGTGGCCCAGCCAAGTTGACCCACGGCCTCACCCATCACAACCAGTCTTTGGTGCCTGCTACTGCCAGACGTATGCCATCCATGCACAGAACAGGCAGGAACTGAGTGTTTTGCTACCATCATAAATGTGAATGCCAGGGAATGAGATGGTTGATAAGGGAGGATTAGATGTGTTTCACATCAAACCTAACAACAGGGTAGCTGTTAATAGATTTATTTTGCAAATGAGCAAATGGAGGCTCCGAGCAGCTAAAACAGTGCTGTGGGATTTAATGCAAAGGGAATGGGCTGGAAGTCACTACAATCTTTAGCGGCTGACCTCACGACCTCAGAGGGAGACTCTGAGCACAAGGCTCGGCCACTGCAAGCCTGTGTCCACCTTTGCAAGATGAGAAGCACACCTTCAGAGGGGGATTCTGGGGGTTCCCTTGCTCCTTTCGCTCTTTGCTGAGCCGGGACCCAGTTGGTGCAGACTCCCCAATCAGGAGCTCATTCTGCAGTGCCGGGTGCCTTCACCAGGTGACAACGGATGCCCCTACCATCTGCTTACTTCTCTAAGGGTCCCTCTGGCCTTTGTCGGCCTTAGACGTGGAGGGACGAAAGCCTTCTTACCTTCAGCTTGGTGAGCGTGTGCATGTCAGCCATGAAATCCAGCACTTCGCTGATGTACTGCCGCATGCACTCCATCGCCGCCGTCCCACACTGAAACACAGGGGACACTGCTGGGTCTCCATGGGAGGGACGCCTCCCCTCTTGGCCATCCTCCAGGGATTGTCTCTCCGTGATGTCACGCTGCTGACTACTGACTTGTTTCATTCCCTGAATCTCTCACTCACACCATTATCCTCAGCATTACTCTCTGATGGTTTGCATGGGCTAGTTTGGACAGAAGTCTCAGAAAGGTATGTGGTGGAGAGCTGGGGGCTAACGAAGACCTAAAGGGAGAGGGGTTAAGGTGCTTTTTGGCTTGTCTTTTTTTTCTAGGTGGGTAATCACTGATAGCCTGTTGGCTTGTTTTTAAACTGCTTGTCATTCACGGATGTCGTCGATGCAAAGCCACTAATAACAGAGTTCTTGTGACTTGGGAGGGTTCGTACACCTTGGTTACGCATTGCACTGTTAACCACTAGGTCAGCAGCTTCAAATCACCGGCTGCTCCCAGGGAGAAAGCGAGGCACCCAACTCCCATAAAGAGCTACAGTCTCGGAAACTCATAGAGTG